CCCCAAAACCCCAAAACCCCAAAACCCCAAAACCCCTAACAATATAAAATAATTGAAAATAAAATGAAAGGACCGAAATATATCGAGACGGATAATATTCTTAAAAAATTTAGAGAAAGGTAAACTTCTTTTTCTAAAAACTACCTTTGATATATTAATAGTTAAATTTTATTTAGATCCTTCAGGATCCACCAAGAAAAGCTCCAGAAAATAAAAAGACGCACTAATAAGAATCAGAGGTACCTACATAAGAGACAGAGCAAGCATGAAACTGCCCCAAATGAGGGTGATTTTAGCAGTAAGTTCTTGAGGTCTTAATTACCGTTTCTCAGTCATATCTGATGCAAAAAATGATTAATTACAGCTTTGTGATATTTAATATTAATAATAACGGTTTTATTTCCTTAGGATTATCAGGACCAGGTGGCTCCCCTCCAAAGTTCTCGATTTACTCTCAAAACTCAATGCAAAAGTATGTATTCTGCCTAAATATCTAGTATCATAAACACAGAGGATGATTATTCCTTAATGAGCATGATAAAACAGACAAAACGAAAGAACTTTGAGTACAGAATGATGCAACAAAATAATAGGATCAGCCAGCAGAATACAGCCTTGATTAACAAATTAGTCAAGATTTCTAGCTCAAACAATTCTCTACCCCATAGAAAGTCCATGAAGCTAGATAGCTTAAATATCCATGTGAGAAAGAATGAGTATGAGAGGATCATACATGAGAATACTAAAATTTAACAGAAGACTAAATGGCCTCAAACCTCATATTAATATGCGCCAGATAGCTTCAGAATATAAATCTCAACATTTGTATCATAGTAGGAGGTTACAGAAGATGAAGAGGTATAGAAGCAAGAAATCTATTGATAATGACAGTAAGATGTGCTATTTATCTTGTAGATTTTAAAACAAAATTACCTGCTATTAGAAATCACAGTCAGGAGAACATAAGATCCCCAGGAGCTATTGGGATTCCTCCAAGTTTTGACAATTTCGATAAAAATAAAAACAAAGGAAAAGTATCAGATTCGATAAAGGGCCAGAATAAAGATATCTTTAATAAGCCTATCCCTCAAGTTGTAAGGAAGGAGCAAAATAAAGATGCTGAGCAAAAGGAGAACTTAAAAGGATCTGTTTCAAAGCCAGAACCTCCGAAGATTCCTCAAAATTCTTTAACTCCAGACCATGAAAAGAAAGAACTCGAGCCTATTAAAGAAGATAAACAAAAGAAAGTCCCAGAAAAATCTCAGCAACCTTCAAAGCCAGAGGATAATAAACAAGATAAAATTACCAAACCAGAAGAAATTTCTAAGAAAGTTGAGCCTAAGAAGTTAGATGTAGAGATGAAACATGAGGAGGATAAAACTCAAGCTGAAAATAAACCTCAAGAAATAAAACTAAATAATCAGAAGCAAGACCATAAAGAGGTTGGCAAACCAGAAAATCTTAAAGAAGACCCACAGAAATCTGAGAAAGAAGAACTAGATCCGGAGAAGGAAGAAAAGAAATCTGATAAGGAAGAAAAGAAATCTGAGAAGGAAGAAAAGAAATCAGAAAAAGAAGTTATCGAGGAACAGCCCAAACAACACCTCAAGAAAGAACAGGAGGAAATAAAAGAATCTCACAATATAAAAGAAGAAAAGAAACTAGAAATAGTTCATGAAAATGCTGACCAGAAACCTCCTCCTTCACGTGAAAATAACACAAATGTTCTCAAGAAGAGGCCATCTCTGGGACTTGCTGATAAGGAGCAGAAGGAAGAGATTAAGCAGAAGTCTCCTGAAGAAGTTGACTCAAAGCTTAAGGAGGATAAGCCCAAAAATGAGCCTGGAGAAAATTCTTATAAGCAAGGAAGTAGAGAGAGCGATCAAAGTCTTGACCAATTTGACATTAACCAAATAGAGAACGAGTCAATGAATTCTCCAACAAAAAGTAGGAATTAATCAGGATTCAATACTTTAAACCTCCGGAGGGGTTTTGGGGTTTTGGGGTTTTGGGGTTTTGGGG